AAAGGAATATAAAGGTCAAGTTCTGTTTTCTTTCTACCCTCTGAGAAGCATAAATCCCACTGGGACAGATGGGAAGAACACCCTTCTCCATCTCCCTCTCTTTGTACCCATCACTGTTGGTCTACACCTGGTTTGCTGAAGAACTGCGGGCACAGGAGCCATTTGTTGCTTCAGAGGAGCTAGCTATGAGATGTCTGTGATCACGTCATGGTAAAAACCCAGGGAGTAATTAGGAGCCCAGGAAGCCTTGCTGTCCACAAAATGCCAGTGCCATGGATGGCCCCAGGGCGCCTTGTGAGGAAACCTTGAGCATTTCCTTTCAGGAATGAAATAGACCCTCATCCTCAAACTAAAGATCACAGAAATGGGCACTTGCTCCTGGGCCACTCCCTGAGCACCATGCCCTCTGCTGACATGTTGGCTCCACTCTTGTTACTCATGTCCAGATCTGCAGTGCCAGCTTCTCCTTCTCAGTGACATGTCACCTCCCCGCCCCAATCCTGGCTCCAACCCCCTCTGGAAAATGGAAAGGAAACGTTTGTCTCTAATACTCAAATCCAACAAATGGCTCATCCATCTACCTTCCCATTTCCATCTAATACTCAAATCCAACAAATGGCTCATCCATCTACCTTCCCATTTCCATGCCTAGAGGCCCCACCACCACCACCAGCAGCAGCGATGGGTGTTTCCAGATCCTCCTCAGGCTCTGATTCTACAACATTATGTTCCTTCCTCACCTTTGATCCTCTCACTCCTCTGTGACCTCCTTCAAGTCTTCCTCAACCACTCAGCCCTGCCGGAAGGTGTCTATCCCTGCTCTGCCATCCTCTTTTATGCTTGCCTGCTTAAAATCGGGAGTGCTTAGTCCTTGGCCAACAGTCCTGCCTTCTAGAAGGGTGTTTCCATGCCAGCCTGAAAGGGTTATGAATCCATCACAAGGGAAAAACTTCTTTTTTACTATTGCTGGATGGATTTGCTGTTATTGGTTGGTGGACCCTTTGCCTGTTGGATGTATTTCACTCATCCTCTCCTCACTCTCTTATGCAGTTCTTTCACCTTCATTCTCCTCCTTCTACCTTTTCCTCTACCGCATATTCCCTCCCTCCCCTCCTTTAAAAGAAGTATAAATATTAAGAAAGTTTGTTGTTTTAAGTTAAAAGTTTATGTATATATCTTGACTTCTTCATAGGAGTGTTATTTTTAAAAATTCTAAAAATAAAATAAATATTGTTATTTTATTAAGCATGAAACCCCTGTACATATTTCTTTTTTGAAGGAGGAACCCATGGCAGCGCCTCGCCACTTATTCCTGCTCATACTGGTTTGAAGGCTTTGATCATATGTAGCATCGACTTTGTCCTTCCACAGGGAAATGTACCCATTTTTAGTCTGTCTTAGTCAGTGCCTGTTTATTTCTATTATTACTTAGGTTCTGGCTGGCTGGCATGGAAAATACCCTAAAACTTTCTTTTTAAAAATTTATTTTGAATAGGTTTTTATTTATATGATTCAAAACTCAAAACAAGGCCAGGCACAGTGGCCCATGCCCATAATCACAGCACTTTGGAAGGCCAAGGTGGACAGATCATGAGGTCAAGAGATCAAGATCATCCTGGCCATCATGGTGAAATCCCGTCTCTACTAAAAATAGAAAAATTAGCTGGGCATGGTGGTGCACGCCTGTAGTCCCAGCTACTCGGGAGGCTGAGGCAGGAAAATCGCTTGAACCCAGGAGGCAGAGGTTACTGTGAGCTGAGATGGTGCCACCACACTCCAGTCTGGCAACAGAGTGAGACTCTGTCTCAAAAAAAAAAAAAAAAATCAAAACAATATGTAAAGGTTTACAGTGAAAACCTTTTCTCTTATTTTCTACCCTAAATTCCAGTTATGCTTATTAGTTTTTATGTATCCTTCCAGAAGTTCTTTGTATAAATACTAATTAATACACACATATGCACACACACACACACACATACACACATATATTTACATACAAGAGGTAGCATGTAATACACACTGTTCTCTGCCTTGATTTTTTTGCTTAACATGGATGGTCAGGCAGTGTTCTGGGTGTCTTACAGATGTTAACTTGCTTTTTCATAACAACCTTATGAGATAGGTATTATTATTTGCTCTTTTTTACTGTTAAGAAATTGAGGCAGTAGTTAGTAGAGAGAGGCAGTAGAGGGGTTAACAGATTTGCTCAAAGGCTCACAGCCAGTAAGTGACATGGCTGGGATTCCAAACCAGGCAGGCGTCCCTAAGTCTAGATTATTAACCACTATGCCATACTGCCTCTTGGAGAGCCTGCTATGATCTGCAGAGAACTTCATAGAGCTTTGCACTGTGTTCTGTTAAATGAATGTACATAATTTGGCTGGGTGTGGTGGCTCACACTTATAATCCCAGTGCTTTGGGAGCCGAGGTGGGTGATCACTGGAGCCCAGGAGATGGAGGTTAAGGTGAGCTGTGATGGCATCACTGTACTCCAGCCCAGGCGACAGAGTAAGACCCTGTCTCTAAAGAAAAAAAGGAAAATTAAAATTAAAAGAAATGAACGTACATAACTTTATGTACATAAAAAGCCTCCTTTTATGGACACCTGAGTTATTTCCAATACTTAGCTATTATAAACCATGATGAAATAAGTAACCATGTATACTTTGGATATTTGTTGAATGAATTTCTGGGGGGCAGATTGCTGGGTGAAAGGAAAATGCATTTGTGACTTTGCCAGACTCTGCCGTGGGGTTGCACCATTTTACGCTCCCAGTGGAGTGCCTGTTCCCCTCAGCCTCTCCAGCAGATTATGTTATTAAGCTTTTAAATTTTTGCCAAATGTATGGGTAAAATTTTTTATCTCAGAATGACTTTAATTTTCACATTTAAAATAATGAGCTCGTCTGAGCATCTTTTTCTTTCTCTGCTGCCCAGGCTGGAGTGCAGTGGCACAATCACGGCTCACTGCAGCCTCCACCTCTCAGGCTCCAGCCATCTTTCACCCTCAGCCTCCTGAGTAGCTGGGGCTAGAGGTGTAGCTCTACCAAGCCGGACTAATTTTTTAAATTTTTGGTATGTTTTCCAGACCAATGTCACTATGTTTTCCAGACCAATGTCGAACTCCTGGGCTCAAGTGATCCTCCTGCCTTGGCCTTCCAAAGTGCTGGGATTACAGGCATGAGCTACCGCACCTGGCCCTGGGCATCTTTTTTTTTATATTCAGGAGCCATTTAGCATTTCCTTTTATGTGGACTGTTTATTCATATCCTTTGCTCATTTTTTTTTTCTACTGGGTTTCTGGACTTGTTTTTCCTGGTTTCTTATTGCTGGCCTAGAGCTTATGATGATGCACCAGTGCTAAGCCTTCTTTGCAACAGCATCTACACCCTCAGATTTTCAGCAGAAGGTTGTTAAGGCTTTTTTTTCCTTTTCTTCGGTGTCTGCTGTGTTTTTATGCGCACAACCTCTCTTGAGGCAGTGGGAGCTGAGGCAGGTGGAAAGGGCGATAGTGCGCAGGTACCAACCCTGGAGCAGCCAGAGGCTTCGGGAAAAGGTGTCAGTCGGGATCTCCAAGTAGTCTGGCGTTGCTTAGGAGAGCACAGCCACTCTGATAGTGGGGCTACGGTTCTGGACCTGTTGGGCCTCCGCGAGGAGTCAGGGTCGGGGCTAGGAAGTTCACCCACCCCTAAAGGGAGAGGCACCGAGTCCGGGAACACCCCCATGGGTGTCCCCTCCCATCCCATGTGCGGAGACTCACAGGGTCCCTAGGCTCGGGACCGTGAGAGACGCAGGTGGTCCCGAGTTCAGGACTAGGGGTCCCCTTAACTCCTCAGATCCCGCAGAATCCACCTCTGCCCCATGAGAGCCAAGGCCAGGCTGCCCGAGGGGCTGTCCGCCTACGGGAGGCTATGTTCACTACCGATACCTCCCAGGTTGGCGACCGGGCAGCGCCCCGGGGCTGCGCTCCCGCAGAGCTGGTCCTTGCCCTGCCCCTACCCGCAAAGGCTCGAGTGGAAACGCATCCCGCTCTTTCGTTTTCGTTTCCCGGAAGGAAAGCGATTACTGGAGCGCCTCCGCGCGCCTGCCCGCCTAGGGAAGACCCGGGCGCACACGCCTTCCAGTTCTTGAAGCCAGGTTAGGGGTTTGAGGGAGGAGGACTTGGGAGCGCAGGTCTTAGGGCCCCAGCAGCCACAGCCGGGAGAGAGCTCGCGACAGAAAGCCGGTGGCTTCCTCATCGCCACCTGCAATGCAGGTAAGAGCCTGGAGGCTGAACATGCAGCGCGCCCACGGAGCCCCCTGCTCCCTCGTCCTCTCCCCACCACCTCGATTTCCAAACCTATTCTATCAGACCTTTTACCTGGCGGGAATCTCTCTTTCCAACACATTCCTAAACCTCACAGCCATCCCTCACTCACCTCCCTTTCCACCTCCAGACGCAGGTCACCGCCCCTGGCTCTCTCGATGTCATAGACAGTTCCGAAGGCATCACGCACACTACCTGCAGGCCCTTTCTGCAGTCTCCTTGCCACTGGTCGCCCCTACACCAACCAGATGTGAGGTCCCTGGAAGTTCCTGCCCAAGCCTGGTCCTCACAGCTGGTGAACGCATTTACGCAGAGATCCCCTCTTTAGCAGCCCCTCCCCACTCGCCGGTTTCCTAGGAGGCTCAGAACTGCCCCCAGAGCTGGGGCCCCGTCCCACTCCAAGGCATTTCTCCACTCCCTTCTCGCCAAGACCCATATCCATTTATGAGATCTTCCCGTGGCCTCCATGCTGAAACCAGGAGTCATCCTCAGCAGCTCCGTGGCTGGCGTTTCCTAGTCAGTTACAGTCCCGAAATTCCCCGCTCCTCTTACTTGGAAGAGGATCGAGGAGTCGACAAGGGGCCTCCTGCAAGTCCTACGCAATTCCTGTGCCTTGAGCCCCTTCTCCAGCAAGGCAAACTTCCCTTTCCCATCACGTGGCAGCCCATGAGGTTTGATTACTTGGGATACAGCACCAATGCGGGAGTTGGTGGGGCACAAATGAAGTGAGAAGGACCCTGAAAGCTGCTGAATCCCCTTTTGCGGCAGCCAAGGCTTCTGGAGTTTACTTTGCTGGCTCCGATCCAAAATCTTTCTCGGCTCTTCTTGGTTCCCAAGAGATGAATGTAAAGCTGTTGACGATCCTAGAGTGAAAAATGACTTGGTGGAACTGGTTTCACTTTTCCTTTCAGTGCTATGGCAGCCTGTTGAGGCCCCCAAGGAGCCTCCTGTTCCTACAAAATCCTGCCACTTCTTTTGTTTTCTCATCGAGATGGAAGAACCCCGTCATCTCTGGAAGCCATGCTTATTGTTGAATTGTAAAGATACAAGCTTCCAGTGATGAGACCTTAGGATTCAGAAATGTATCCTTTCTTCTTCTCTTTTGAAAATAATGTTTGTTTGTTCTGAGACGGAGTCTTGCCCTCTTGCCCAGGCTGGAGTGCAGTGGTGCAATCTTGGCTCATTCCAACTTCGGCTTCCTGGGTTCAAGTGATTCTCCTGCCTCAGACTCTGGAGTAGCTGGGATTACAGGTTCCAACACCATGCCCAGCTAATTTTTGTATTTTTCGTAGAGACGGTGTTTCACCATTTTGGTCACGCTGGTCTGAGACTCCTGACCTCAAGTAATCTATCCGCCTCAGATTCCCAAAGTGTTGAGATTGCAGGCCTGAGCCACCACACCCGGCCTGTTTGTTTATTTCTGATGTCAGGTCTTTTGATCCTAGCCCCTCAGGTTTCCTGTGCTGTCCTCACCAAGGATCCAGTGAGTATTCTTAGGCCCTCAGATTTCAATCAGACAAGCCTTGGCAGGGGATCCCTCTGGAGGAGTAAGGCATATGTATGGAAAGCTTGAATTGGAAGGATGTCATTTATTGTGTCCACTGGGTACAAGATGTTGATGATACTGAGTTGAAGATATACATGTTCCTACCTTTAAGGTTGATGCAGTGTATTGGCAGAGATAAACACTCTTTCCCTTCCAGAAAGTTCTTCAGACATTTAAAGATGGCTGAGCCTTCACCAAGATGCTCTTCTTCGACTTCCCTGGTTTTTCTTTCTCTAGGAGGGAGAATCTGCCAGTTCTCCTATAAGCCCTGTGGCAGCCATGCCTCCTCGAGGCACCCACGTCCAAGCCAGATGTAAAGCTCAAATGGACCTGCTGGGTGAAGGGGGGATCTGCAAGCTGCCAGGAAGACTCCGTAAGTAGAGGGGAGGAGAAAAGGTGACTTTTAAAATTAAATTTTTATTAAGTTTTAGATACAAGGTCTTGCTCTGTTGCTTAGGCTAGAGCACAGTGGTATAATCACAGCTCATTGCGGCTTTAATTTTGAGTTCCTGGGCTCAAGTAATCTTCCCATCTCAGCCTACCCAATGGCTGGGACTACAAGCACACGATGGCTAATTTTTAAATTTTTAGTAGAGATGGGAATCTCACTATGTTGCCCAGGTTGGTCGTGAACTCTTGGGCTCAGGCTATCCTGTTGCCTTGGCCTCTCAAAATGCTGGGCTTATAGGTGTTAACCACTACACCTGACCCTTAAAATTAATTTTTATTTTTTAAAATAAGAGACAGGGTCTCACTATGTTGCTGGGTTGGTCTCAAACTGGTTGAGCTCAAGCAATCCTCCCAGCTCAGCTTCCCAAAGTGCTGGGATTACAGGCATGGGCCATTGTGCCTGTCAAAATTTTATATATATTTTGCAACATAACTTTGTACCCCATAAATATATACAATTATGATTTATAATTTGTCAATCAAAAATTTAATTTTGGCCAGGTGCCAAAATTAAATCACCTTCCCTTTGTTTGCTGTTTCTTTGCTGAGTTTTCTTTAGCTTTTCCTTGGTGAGAAAGTTGGAGAAGGTATACAGCAGATACAGACAAACGTGAGGGCCAGGCAGTCTCCTCATTGGTAATATGAGGATTGGGATCAAATGAGTTATTGGGTCCCCTCCAGCCTAAAGACAAAGAGTTGGGGACATTGCCAGTGAGGAAGCTGGACAGGATAAACAGTGGGTGGTTGTATGTATGTAGAACCCTCTCTTAGATAAGTGTTTAATTTTTTTTTTTTTTTGAAATGGAGTTACGTGCTTGTTGCCCAGGCTGGAGTGCAATGGCGTGATCTCGGCTTACTGCAGCCACCATCTCCTGGGTTCAAGCAATTCTCCAGCCTCAGCCTTTTGAGTAGCTGGGATGACAGGCGCCCGCTACCATGCCTGGCTAATTTTTGTATTTTTAGTAGAGATGGGGTTTCGCTATGTTGGCCAGGCTGGTCTCGAACTCCTGACCTCAGATGATCTGCCTGTCTTGGCCTCCCCAAGTGCTGGGATTACAGGCATGAGCCACTGCACCTAGTCTTAGTGTTTAATTTTATTGTTACAAAGTAGCATATGCTTGTTGTCAAAATATAGGGAAATGACAGAGATGTATAAGAAAAATATATAGAATAACCATATCCACCCAAAGATAACCATGGGCAACATATTGGCCACACTTCCTTTTCCTAAGCAGTGCTCTCACCTAAGGAAGCTCGTAAACATGGAGCAGGCTCAACATTAATGCATTCATGCCTATGTTTCAAATGGCAAAGCTGGCAGGAGAAGAGCTAAGTGACATGCCCAAGATCATACAGGCTCTTGGGCCGAAACTTGGTCCTGCTGATAATCTCAGGGGTTTTTCAACTGTGGTTCCTAAGCTGTACAAATCAAGAGATTGGCAGCCATCCGGGATCTGGGTGGGAGGTCTTGGGGCAGCTGTGGGCAGGCACGTGTGGGCTGGGTTGTAGAGCTTCCCGGTCACTTCCTGCCCAGCTGGCCCAGTGGTTGGAACCCTGCTTTGCCTATTTCCTGGCCACAACCTGCTTTTTGAGCTGATGATAGGACTGAGTTGAGGGCTGAGCACAGCATGGAGTTTGACTTCATAGGCTTTGGGAAGAGCCTATTGGCTCTTACACACCTCTGCCATTTATGGTCTGGCACCCTTTAAATGGGAAACAGAGTCCATCTTTCCACGGTTAGAGAGAAGGTGGGACCAATGCTCAGACTCACCCAGGAGCAAGCTCTGAAGGGAGACTAGTATGGGGGTGGCCCTGGTGTTGCAGGGCAATGGTGCAGGGAAGCGGCAGCAAGAGTTGGGGACTCCACAAGCGCTCTCTCTGTTGCTTCATTTTGTCCCACACACCAAGTCCTATAATGTCCAGGCTGGTAGGTAGAGCCCGTAGTTGTTGGGTCTACCTACCACTTTTAGGTAGACTCACTTTTTTTTTTGAGATGGAGTTTTGCTCTTGTCGCCCAGGCTGGAGTGCGATGACGTGATCTTAGCTCACCGCAACCTCTGCCTCCCAGGTTCAAGCGATTCTCCTGCCTCAACCTCCCAAGTAGCTGGGATTACAGGCATGCACCACCATGGCCGGCTAATTTTTGTATTTTTAGTAGAGATTGGATTTCTCCATGTTGGTCAGGCTGGTCTTGAACTCCCGACCTCAGGTGATCCACCCATCTTGTCCTCCTAAATTGTTGGGATTATAGGTGTGAGCCTCTGCACCAGGCCCGTGAAACTCACTTCTATTCCAAATGAGGAAATTGAGGCCCAGGAGGCTGTGTTCTGCCCACGGTCACATAACCTTCAGTTTCCTTTTGTCCACTGGGAGCCTAGCTCAAAATTATGAGGTGAGAGGTACAGGGGGAGAAGTGAGAATTTAGAAAGTTTAGTCATCATCTTGGTAAATCCAAATATGCAAACCTATAATTCTTTTGAAGAGTGCATTTTCTCTTGTTCGAATGTTTGTCATGGGGAACCCGCTGTGTGTTCACTGAGGATGTAGGTGGTGATGGGGGTGGAGAGGTTGAAGGTGAGCCTGGAAGGTGATGGTGGAGTTAGATCTGGGACAGGGAGTGGGTAAGAACTGGTAAGACTGTAGGAGTTTAGGACTAAAAGTGCCCACCATGATTGCACTTTTATATCCTCTGAGAAAAGACTTCTGGAGTTCTTGTATTCTCTGAACATTGATTTTTAAAAAGGGGCCGGGAATGGTGGCTTACGCCTGTAATCCCAGCACTTTGGGAGGCCGAGGCTCGTGGATTGTGAGGTCAGCAGATCAAGACCATCCTGGCCAACATGGTGAAACCCGACTCTACTAAAAATACAAAAATTAGCTGGGCGAGGTGGCACGTGCCTGTAATCCCAACTACTCAGGAGGCTGAGGCAGGAGAATCGCTTCAACCCAGGACTTGGAGGTTGCAATGAGCTGAGACCGCACCGCTGCACTCCAGCCTGGGAGACAGAGCAAGACTCTGTCTCAAAAAAAAAAAAAAAAGTTGACTTAATCTAATTTTAAGATACACACGTATTTTATTATTTTTTTTTTTTTGAGACGGAGTTTCCCTCTTGTTGCTCACACTGGTGTGCAATGGTGTGATCTCGGCTCACTGCAACCCCTTGCCTCCTGAGTTCAAGGTATTCTCCTGCCTCAGCCTCCTGAGTAGCTGGAATTATAGGTGTGTGCCAACATGCCCAGCTACTTTTTGTATTTTTAGTAGGGACAGGGTTTCACCAGGTTGGCCAGGATTGTCTTGAACTCCAGACTTTGTGATCCACCCGCCTCAGCCTCCCAAAGTGCTGGGATTATAGGTGTGAGCCACTGCGCTTGGCCATACCTATCTATTAACTAAAGATGTAAGATTAGAAATTTTAACACAACTTCTAAGAAACACTTTCTAATAGTGACGTTCAGTCACAAGACCCACAACTCTCCTCTGAGCCCTGGGAAATCCTATTTCCCTAAGACCAAACTTCCTAAGCTCAGAAGCTCACTAAGTAGCTATTGAATGAATGAATGCATGAGTGACTAGAGGTCTTCATCAAGAACGCCAGGACCTCCAGACAATGCAGGATCACTTCTGTGGGGCCTTCAGAGATGGTCACTAGATCTGTGCATTTCTAGTGACAGCAGTTTCCTCCCCTCTTGAGGCAGCCTGTTCCCTGGTTACACAACTCAAGGTGCAGGTCATCCCGGCCTCTTTTCTCCTAGCTTACAACTCCTGAGCTACTAGTCCTGTTGCCTTGGGTTAGATTTCCCTGGGAGCAGACCTCAAAATACTGTCGAGGAGTGGGGAGGAAAGACAGAGACGAGAAGGAAATCTCAAAGATGTTCTTTTGGGCCAGTTAGTACCATGGGGGTCTCTGGGACAGCGAATCCTAAGGCATTCCAACTAATAGGTAAGGGGGTTATCCACTCACTTCTCTTCCATGACAGATGAGTGCTGTTTCCAGGGGTATTGGCTCTCCAGCATTTCCAAGTTACCTTGTACACTGGCTGAAGGGGTTCCTGCAGCTAGAAAAAGCCCCAGGCAGAGTCAGCGGGGGCATTAGGCAGCCTTCAGAGTGTGGAGGTAAGAGCCAGGACCTATGGGCAGGGCCCTGGCAGCATCTTCTATACCTGTCATCTTAGATTCCATGACTCATATTTATTGGTATGTCTGCAAATATTCCGACAATACAGTTCTGGCCCTTAGTAAATATCTGACAGTCTTAAAAGAATGGGGTGCCAAATGACTCATTTTCCTGTCAGCAACATCCCAAACAAGCAAACTGCTGACACCCAGTGAGGGTTTGACTTTTCAGCCCTGCTGGGGGGGATCTCAGCCCAGTTTCCTAATTTTCTGAAGCTGGATTTTCATCTCTGCCCTTCTCTCTGATGTTTATTCCCTGTCACTCACCCCATTCCCTTCCCTACCTCCAGCCTCCATTCTAGTAGTCAGGACTGATCTGCCTCAGCGGGAAGTGAACAGACAAAACAGATCTTGTTTAGCGTTGTGAGTCGATGCTAAGGGAGCACAGAAGTGATTTTCCTGTAGAGCTCACCTTTTTGTGTTGATTTTCCTAACAAAGATGTGTAGTAAAGTAGTGGAAAGTCCACCCTGAGGACACCTGTGATGTCCTGGATTGTGGCAACGGACTGGAGGTCTACTGCGATGGAGGAGTGGGATTCATGGAGATTCACGGCTGTGCTTCCCTGTATGAAAATAGGGAACAAAAGAGGATTCTCACCTCCCTGTCCCTGGTCTGTGGCCATGAGGGTCTGCCCAAGGCCAGAGTGAGTCAGGAGCTATGGAGGGACACAGCTGCGGGGCAGGGACAGCTGACAGCGCAGGCTCTAGGACCATTTACAGAACTGGGCTGATGTCACAGGGGAGTGAGT